AGAAACAACCACTATGGGCCGGCCCGGTGGCGCACTGCTACAGTGCGCCGCTTGGGAGGCGCGGCAGTGCTCCCATTGAGGGTTCGGATCCCACATACAGACCGGCCGCTCACTGGCTGAGCGAGGAGCGGGGGCAACACCGAGGGTTGCGATCCCGTTGCCGGTCCCGGTCCAGTACGGGCGCGACACTGAGGGTTGCGATCCGTTGCCGGTCACGAAAAAAGACAAAAAGAAAAAAAAGAAACGACCACTATGACCATTGACCAGTGAATGGATAAACAATATGTGGTATATCCATAAAATGGAATACTAACCCATCATAAAAAGGAATAAAATTCTGCTACAGATTACAATGTGGATGAACCTAAAAAACATAATGCTGAGTGAAAGAAGGCAGACACAAAAGGTCACATATTATATAGTTCCATTTCTATGAAATATCCTAAATAACTAAGTGCCTAGAGACAGAAAGTAGATTAGTGGTTGCCAGGGATTAGGGAAGGAGGAACGGAGGGTGATTGCTCAATGGGTTATAGGGTTTCCTATTAGGTGATGAAAAGATCTTGGAACTAGATAGTGGTGACGGTTGTGTAATATTGTGAATATACTAAATGCCTTTAGTGTACACTTTAAAATGGTTAATTGTCAATTTTATGTTATGTGAACTTTACCACAATAAAAAAAAAAATAGGGTAGTGATAAAACTTTTGATGTTCCAGGAACAAAATAGAATGAGCAGATCATAGAGAAATGACTGAGTGTGAGAAAACTGGGACATTCCCAGGTCTGTGATATGGATCTCACAGTCAGTGAAAGATAAGAAAAGATATTAGACAGATGGCTGGGGCAGATCAAAGATCTCTCTTTTACTACGGAAAGCATTTTGTCTCTAAACTGAAAACTATTTTTTAAAATTGTGAGATTTCAAGAAGAAAAGTGTCAGGGTCTGCATTGCACATTGAAAAATCATTAGATATTAGACTGATTAGAATCCATGACTTGAGACATGAGATTATCATGGGAATCTGGAGGTAAGTACCACCAATCTAAATGAAAGGCGTGGTCATGGGTGAGTAAAAAGAGAAAGCCAGCATTTTCAGGTGTAAAACCGAGCGTTTTCAGGTGTCTGACTCATTGAAGTTTCTCAATAAATGCCTATTTGTGGATAGAACAAACTGAATATATGACCTACAGAAAAAGATATTGAAAAATATGAGAGTGGAATTGTTTTACTGAAGGTGGATACATAATAAATTTGTTCCTAAATAGATATGAAAAATGACAAGAAATGTTACCCTTATCAAAAAAAGAAAATTCCAGATATTGTTTGCCTCCCAGAATCCTTCCTTCAAACCTTCCCACCAAATCCCTGAGAATGTTGATATTCACCCGCTTACCCCACAGGGCATGAATCTTGGAAGAAATGGATTCCACGCTCAGACCTAGACATCATTTTGGTCTACCTGAATTCTCTACACCTTAACTAGTAATTCATTTAGGAAAAATCAAGGGACCATATCCGGCCAGAAAATTCGAGGAGAGCTCTGCTAAATTTTGGGAAAGATTTTCCTCTTACTTTTGAGAGTTATGTGAAGTCTCTTCATCTCCCACAATCTGAGTGTGAATAAGAAAAGCTTTGGCCCTGACTGTTCCATGCAAATATTATAAAGCACAGTATTACAAGGGTTATAGTGGAGAAAACAGTAGGAACAGTAAAAAGAATGAGTTAAGAAGAATCCACGCCCTTTGTCATGATGAGGGAAAATGGCGTTAGTCTGGCCAAGGCACCTAAAATGGAGTCAGGAGGCCATTTTAGCTTGAACTCCATGCACGTATCACCTGAGGGCGCACCAAACTCTTGAACTTTTGCAATCAATCACATCCCAAAACACCCTGAACTTTTAAGCTTTTCTAATCAATCACAAGGGTCACAACCTTCTTACAGAAAAATGGCAAGCATCTGCCAATCGTTGACCACTATTCCACATACCTCCAGTCAAAATGAAGAATTTCTAGCTGAGGATTGTCTCACAGACTGGTACAACCAATCCCTTGCTGCCAAGACTACTTAAAGATCCTAGCACCAATCGTAATGTCAGACACACGATTTTGTAACTACCTCTCCTTCTGATTGGTCCTTTTATCCTTTATAAGCTCGATTTCTTTTCTGTTTCTTCAGGGCATTTCTCAGGGTAACATGGAAGTGCCTTCCTGGCTGCAGTCACTCAAATTTGGCTTAACATAAACTCTTTGTTGTTCAAGACTTGCCTCCATTTCCTTCCAGGTTCACAGTGATGTC